AAAACACACCTCTTTTTCTCTCCCCCTTCCTCTGCCCCTCATCTCTCTGAGCATAGGGACTCAAGGGTCCCAGTTCCCAGATCTGGAAGGGCCTCTATGCTCCCATAGGGGGTGTGGCTTGCCTGAGACTCTGGGTCATAGGGTTGGGGTTATGGCAAGAAAGGGCTGAGGTGAGATCCTGAGGGCAGGAAGTGAGGGGAGAGGACAGACCCTCTTGGCCTCAAAGCTTCCAAGCCAGCAGGATTCAGGTCCTGGCACCCCCTCCCTCGGGTCCCTCTCCACCAGTCTCTAGACTCTCCACTGCTGCTAGGTCCAGCATCACCCCACGGCTCCCAGGGCAGCAGGGATGCATTAGAGACAGGCCTGCCTTGGGGATGAGTCTGAATCTCTAGGGGAAATGAGATCCTCATTTTTACCATTCCTTCCTCTGAGCACCTGCCATCCCCTTAAATGCAGGACAAAAATGGGGAGAAGGATAGGGAGCTTTTCTTAACACTCCCAGGCAGGTCTGGGGCCGGCACTGGGATCCCAAAAAGAATCCTTTCTCCCTGCACTGTCCCTTTTACTCTGGAAAACTGCAAGCTGTGATTCCAAACAAATAGCTAAACAGGAGATAAAGAATCCTGTCTTTGACGTGCAGAGGCCCCTATCCTGGAGGCTTCAAGAGAGAACCTGCCTCCTGCCCCATAGCCCAGCTTAGCTCAGTCTTTCTCTATGGCAGATAGAAGAAGCAAGATATCCTATCCTTCCCATCCCAACCTCTGACCTGGGCCACAAGTCCTTGCACTGTCTGTCCTCTCTGGGCCCTTCTCTGGTCCAAGCAGAGCTGCCCAACCACGCTGCCCACCCAGGAGTTTGCAAACAAAGCCAGGGCTGGGGCTGTGTGCGTGTGGTGAATAGCTCTTCCTCCCTTGGCTCCAACCCCCTCCTTCCTCCCCTCCTTCCTCCAAGGGCAGCAATGGAAAATTAGGCAGGCAGGGCCAGCGGCCCCACACAAACCAGAGGAGTAGCAAGAGAGAAGAGGGCCCAAGGGCACAGCCCCGCTGAGGGTGCCTCAAGGAAATGAAAGACATAGCTGGGGTTCAAACATGTTTACACAAACATGCACATGAAGAACCACACAAATACACATACAAGTATTCAAAAACCTAAAACACCTTCAGATAACGATGCACACAAAATGCTGGCCCGATATTCACAGACCAGGCCCTACGGTCCCCAGCCTCCAGTCTGACTGGAACCTGGGCCTCCCTGCGAGTTTCTGAGAGCGCAGCCCCAGCCATGGCCCGGCCCCCTCCTGGCCCCCGCCCCGCATCCGGAACAGCTGGA